CCCCCTCTCTCACCTTGCTTAGCACGCTGAAGTTGCGCGGGTCCTTGCCGTAGCGTGTGGCCACCTCTTCGTGACCGTACTCCACCCGCCAGATCTTCGGCCACTGCGGCCACGGGTTGTCGGACGCGCGGTCTACAGGGGGCGCCGGTAGAATCTCGAACGTCGTCACCGACTTTGCTTTCTGAAGGGGGGTCGGTCAGCGAACAGGCAATGTTAGCGCGCGGCGTGAGCAGGATGGGAAAACCGAATGCCACAGCGAGCAACGGCGATAAAATCGATGGCAAAACCAAGACAAGGACGTCAACAGACGAAAAAAGGTCCCGGATGTCGACAGATGCGCGTAAAGAACAGGCAATAGCCACAAGTGTAGCAACGACATGCAGCGACTAAAGGTGAAGCCTGACGCATCACGGACGCACGCCCACCCCGACGCGCGTGACTACACACAATGCCCCTGCGATCGGCGCAGCGCACGCGGGGAGGGATGCTCTCTTGTCGCAGCGCGCGGGGGACGAACGCTCACTCGTCGCAACGATAAGAAACGGATGCTCACCTGTCGCAGCGCGGTCGCGATGCAGTCGACGCCGGTGTCGCCCCCTCCAATCACAAGAACGTCCTTGTCGGTGGCGAGGAGCACGGACATCTCGACGTCGTCTCCCCAAAGCTTCTTCTCCTGCGCCGTGAGGTACGGCATTGCAAAGTGAATGCCCTCCAGGTGGCGCCCTGCACAGCGAGCGCGAGAAACAAGCGTACAGGTGCTATACAGGTGCGTAGGCATTAAAATCGCGCAGGTGGTTAAACAGGCAGGTTGGTTAACAGGTGAGAATATCTATATCTCATCTCTCTCTCTCTCTCTCTCTCTCTCTCTCTCGCTCTCCCTTTCTCCCTCTCTCTTCTCTTTCTCTCCCTCACACAATACACGTTAATTAACAGGTGAGTACAGGTGAGGTTGGACGTACCTGGGATGGGCAGGTCGCGGGGCTTCGTCGAGCCGGTCGTGAACAGGTGACCGTACAGGTTAATTAACAGGTAAATACAGGTAACTGTACATGTTAATTAACAGGCGAGTACAGGTGAGGTTGGACGTACCTGGGATGGGCAGGCAGTGGGGCTTTGTCGAGCCGGTCGTGAACAGGTGACCATACAGGTTAATTAACAGGTAAATACAGGTAACTGTACATTTTAATTAACAGGCGAGTACAGGTGAGGTTGGACGTACCTGGGATGGGCAGGTCGCGGGGCTTCGTCGAGCCGGTCGTGAACAGGTGACCGTACAGGTTAATTAACAGGTAAACACAGGTAACTGTACACGTTAATTAACAGGTGAGTACAGGTGAGGTTGGACGTACCTGGGATGGGCAGGTCGCGGGGCTTCGTCGAGCCGGTCGTGAACAGCAGGATGTCGTATTCCTCGAGCAGGTAGGAGGCGCTGATGTCCTTGCCGACTTCGACGCCGGCAACAAACGTGATTCCCTCCTCCTCCATCAGGTCGAGACGCCGCTTCACGACCTGCCGAGACACGCGTGAGAAACGTGTGAGACACACGAGACGCGCGATACATCGAGATGCGTGATACGCCGATGCAACGATGCACGCGATACATCCAGAATGCGGTATATATGCTCCACCATCAGTTCTTTGCAAAATAAATGATCAGGTAGGTGCTAGACATTGCCAATGCGGAGGCCTGGGTGCCGTAACGATACAGGTGACCTGTACAGGTACGTGTACAGGTATAGGTAACGGACTTACCTGTTTGCTGAGTTTCATCGTGGGAATGCCGTACTGCAGCAGACCTCCTAGCCGATCGTCTCTCTCGTAGACGGTCACCTTGTGCCCTGCCTGTGAGAACGGTAAGAACTATAAGAACTCGCTCTTTCTCTGTCTCTGTCCCTCTCTCTCCTGTCTCTTTCTCTCTTTCAACTTATCACATTTCTCCTCGCCTCCCCTCTCTCTTTCTCTTTTATCCACTTATCCTCTCACGATACCTCCGCTCTCTCTATCTCTCTCCCTCTCCCACCTCCTCCCCGCCTCTCCCTCCCCCCTACCTTGTTGAGCTGGGCGGCAGCTGCCAGCCCCGCCGGGCCGCCCCCGACGACGGCGACCGTGCGGCCCGTCCGATGCTTGGGCGGCTGCGGCTTGATCCAGCCCTGCTCGAAGGCGTGGTCGATGATCGCGCACTCGATTTGCTTTATCGTCACCGGCGGCAGGCTGATGCCGACGCAGCACGCACCCTGGCGGCGGGAAAGGGAGTTAGTTAGTAGTGGTTGTTGTTAGTTGTTTTTGTTTGTTGTCGTCGACGTTTGCGCGGCGAGAAAAGAGAAAAGGCGTTAGTTTGATCTCGTGTTATTATTCGATCGTGATTTGAACAACTACAACGTCAATTGTTATTACTTTTATATACATTAATTTCCTATTAGCACTGTATATTTTTCCTCAAACGATTAAAAATTGAGTTTCCTTTCATCCGGATGAGCAAACTTTAACCGGGCGTTTCTCTCGTTGAATCGCCCCAACAGAGCGCCAGTTAAGCTTCACAGACCATGCTCACGACGCGCGCTACCTCGCGCGAGACACTAACTACCAGGGGGCGCCTCTCCCGCCCGCCGTGCCCCCATCGCCTCTTCACCACCAGAGGGCGCCACCACCGCGGTCGCTCACCTCGCACGGCGCGGGGCACACGCGTCCCGTGAACTCTGGGAAGTTGTTCGTCTGCAGCAGCTGCTCCAGCGCCTCCTCCCAGTTCTCGTGGAAGACGAGGTCGTTGAACTTGGGGATGATGTTGCCGAGCGGACAGCCCGTCTCAGACTGACAGAACGGAATGCCGCACTCCATGCACCTGCACAGCACACACACACACAGGGGGCGCTGACGTACAGCTCTTATTAACTTATTATTCGCTCTTGATAATATGGGGTTTCCTGTTCAT